TATCACAGTCTCTGTAGATTTGTACTGAGATGTCCTTACAGAACCTATCACTGTCAGATGTACACCTCACTAAACTGGTTAGTATTAAAATCAAAGACATTTTCATTGGCTTTAGTTTGTTTTGAAATGTTATTGTCATATATAATCTGAGGCATACCAAACATCTGTACCTGCTTTCCCAAAGTAAATAATGAATTTGGTCATTGAGCTTTTCATTTTAAAGCACCATCAGATTGAAACAAATTACCTGTTTCAATCAGATCTATGACCTCGCTACAGATCTTTAGGAAAGCTGTATTCATTCACTCACAAACAATTTGTACTTCTGATTAGGGGTGAGAATCGGCATGGGTGTTGCGATACGATACATGTCACAATTCTTGGGTCAAAATACGATATTATCACGATATTACAATTTCACTATATATTACGATATTTTTCCCAACTATCAAAGTGACATGTATAGATAAAACTGCAAGTTCTGAATGTGTTCATCAGAAGATACTGATCATTTAGTTATTTTGGTATCCATGCTTTTTTGGGTTGTAGTCAGTCCACGTCTTCCGCTGATACTGCCTCAACTACAGATATAGTGCTGTGCCTCACAGCAAAAGGACTTTATGGTGCTATATACCACCGTGGCGGTGCAGAGGTAGCCCATTTCCCCTCATTGTTTTAGAGAAAATGTTTTGTTTTTAAAATCGAATAAGCCACAAATCACCATATATCGCCAAAATGAATTGTCACCACAACCCCTATTTCTGATATTGTATTCTTACAAAATGTTGCTTATTTTGAATTGCAACTAAAAAGATTATTTGTGTGTTGCTTTATCTTCATTGCTATTTAAATGCATCTATGTTAATAGGTTTACTGTACTTAACCTGATTGATTGGTTTGAGGAGCAGCTTTATACGGGAGCTTTTGTCTGTTGGTATGAATGCTGTATTGTTTATTTTATTTTTTGGAATTCTATTTATATCATCTGTATAATTGCTGTTTGTGCCAATTTTTCATCCTAAATAGAATCATAAATAATTGTACTTTATTGATCTCACATTGGAGAAATTTACCTCTGCATTTAACCCACCCAGATTAGTTGGCCTTCCTCTCGTTGGATTGATTCTTTTAAAGAATTTATTGACATTATGATCCGGAGAAGATGAATAAAAAAATATATATATATTGATCACATTTTACCAATTAAAAAGGAGAGCATGGACTTCCTCACCAGAGGTGAAATGAGCATATATTGCTTAGAATCTCAGGTATAAGCAAGCTGATAGAAACACTCTGCTTCTGTTTGAAGTTTATGTAACCCATTGGTTAATTGCATTGCAGATGACTGTTTGAGAATTATCACTTGATTGTGCTTTTTTTTAATAAGCCACACTGCAAAATAAGGTTTAATCTTGTGTAAGATTCCTGCTGATATCAATATTCAAAGCAGCAGTATCAATAACATATCAGAAATGGGAAAAAGTTGTATCTATACATCCCCATCTTTTGAATTTATCAAGGTTAGATTAATGATTTCTTTTGCCTTTAATAAACTGCAAAAATAGTTTAGTATATCTCACATTATATTTTTGGAAGTGCTGTGTGTGAAAATAGTGTAAACCAAGAAGGGAAAGCCACTCTGCTTGTTTTATCAATGTGCAGATTTATACCTGATTATCTGTTTGCATGCATGCACTACTTTCTGAAAAGCTCCTAAAATGTTTTGAAGGATTAAAGCTATAAAACATCTCCTGCGGTGGTTTGCTTTACATTTATTGAGCACTTAGGAACCTTTAAACATGGCAGATATATTATTTTTTTCTTAAATAGGACGGTTGTTTTCTTCTCTGTTCCCACTGGTTTGTTGTTGGTGACGTTCGCCGCCCCGCCTAGCTGTCATCTTCACTCAGGGTCTCACCAGAATGCATCGGCAGGAACATGCCCCTCTCTTTTGGGCTCAATAATTAATTCTTCTGCCTCATCAGTCCTGATTCCACAGGTCCTCAGCTGGGTCACATCGAACGTAGGGGCAGCAACCCAGATCTTGTCAATTTGACGGGCCGGCTGGCTCTCAAACCAGCCAGAGTCATGTCAGGCGGATCCTAAGATGGGAGGGGGCAGGATCGGAGAGCCAGCCAGAGCAGGATATTGCTGTGATCATTCACCAGCAGCAGACAAATCATTAAACCCTGGGCTGCATGCCGCTGAGCGGTTCAGGCGTTTCTGTCCGTCTGTCACTCAAACTTCCCCCTCAGGCTACAGTTTGTGTTGTAAGCTACTTGCTGTTTTGGCAGGCTTCAGATTTTTACTCCCATGCTAATCGGCTGCGTGTGGAGTTTGCTGTTTAAGCAGATCATAATCGTTTAAAGTTGTAAACAGTTCATTTTTTTATGTTTTACTTTCTCTGATCTTTATCTTGTGTACAGAAAGGGCTCTGTGTAACTGAAGTTGTCTTAACTTTCACATGACCTTTTTTTTTTTTTTTTTTTTTTATTCTTAAATGCCAAAAATCTTTGCATAAGAAAAACACATTTTCTTTTTAATCAGTAATCAATCTGAAATGAATAGTTTAGGGATTTCGACGTCTCACTGAGGGCTTTTGTTTTCAATCTGAACTTGCTATGAAAATAGCTTTTTCCGTGTGTTGCTTGATGTTTACTTTAGATCTGAGGCCAAACTCTGGTTGTTTGTCAGATTTGAACTCTTTTACTAACTGGTTGCATTAAAATCTGCTCTTACTGGAAGCCATCCAGCTCAGGCTGAAAGCACGAACCACGTTTAGGCTCCAAATGCAATTTACCAATCTAAAAGGCCTTTGGTGTGGAGATGTCATGGCTCATTGCATGCGAGCTCTGAGGGATTTTTGAACTCTTAATGGGTTTGATGGTGACCACTATTCATGCATGCTCCATGCTTTCCTTTCTTAGTTGTTCTCCAGTCTTTCAAATGAGGGAATTAGCTGCAAATTACCTTAGCTACTGTTATGGCCGTTTACGTAAAAGCCGCCATCTGTGACGCAGATTTACTCCTGGTAGATAAGTCTTTTAATGTTTCTTTTTTATGTAGCTTTACAGAATAAAGACTGAGAGATAAAAGCACTGATATGCATAGTAATGAATTTACCTTTTATATCTTGGTTTAAATAAAATAGATAATCGTGGTCCTGTAGGTAGTAAAGGTCAGTGCATGCCAGCTTTGATGTGGAAAGCATGCTACTGTAGATCGGAGGCGTTTTTTGGTAACCCCCCACCTCCATTTCAAAGCCACAGACATGGTCTGCCACTCCCTTCCACTGTACCCCGGCACCCTCAGGCTGGAGTAATCTCACAGTGGCAAAGACAACAGCATCTGGCTGCATATCAGCAGCAGACATGTGGCATGTGGAGTCACTTTACTTTTTGTTGAGTGGCCATAATGCATTCCAGAGGTCTCTCTGCTAAATTACATCACAATTTAGTGGTGCTTTTAAGTGGAGGTGCATGAAGGTAAACACTGGAGGGTCCATTTTATGTCCCATTGTTTGGGAAAAAAAATAAAATAAACCGTAGATGGTAGATTTGTGAGCAAAGCTCAAAAGGGGATTGTGTGTTTGAAGAAATTTCACAGTATTCTTGTATTTAGCAAACAGAGAACATTTACACATTTGTAATTGAACTGGGAAATGTGAAGGTTTGATTATTTTTAATAGTGTTTATAATCCTGTAGGATAAATTCCAGCATCCTATCAAATCTGATCATCGTCGTCATTCCTGCTGAAGCAGGGTTTCTGCGGGTCATTAAAAATAATTAAAAGTCATTAAATTATTTTTTTTAAACTAAGGCCTTAATTGGCATTAAAAGAAATAAAACGTTGCATTAAAATGCTTCAGAAAAGAAGCTTGAGGCGGAAAAAAGGCTAGAGAATTGGGAAAAATGCTAATTTGAACCAAAGTGGCGGGAAAACGAGGAACTCTGGACATGGCTGCAGCCTGTCCACGGTGAAGATGACGAAGGATTTTGCTGTGTGTGTGTGTATATATATATATATATATATATATATATATATATATATATATATATATATATATATATATATCTAAAGAGTCATGGGTACTTGTTGATGGCATTAAACTTATTTTGAAGAGCATTAAAAGAGGATTAAAAAGCATTAAATAAGAGTTACTCATTCATGTATAAACCCTATGAACTGAAGTAACCCCACAGCATGACCCCGCCACCACCCTGTTTTGCCTTGCTAATGGAGTGAACAGTTAGATAGCTAGCTGACTACAGTAAAAGTTGAAGAACGAAACGCTTTTGATTAACCCAAAATTGTGTCCAACTTGTTGGAAGCTGCTATCAATGATTTTATTATTAAAAACTCAAACATGTTACACCTGCACGGCTTTTGAGTGGTTCTGCTTAGAAAGCAGTTAGCTCTCAGATCTGTTGCTGCAGAGTCGCTGACGGCTGAGATGAATGTTTTGAAAAGGTTTCCAGAGTTGAGTTGCTGAGGGCAGAGAGCTGGAAGGGAATGGAGAGAGGGGGAGACTCGGTCTACATACAGTACATTCTGTTGTCATTGGAGTGTGTCAGTATCACAGCTAGCGTGATGTAGGTGGTTTTTTCTGTTGGACTTTTCTGTTATAATTGTACGGATGATTTGCAAAGGGGGGGGATCTGTTGGGGATATACAAATTCTGTGTTTTCTTTTTCAGTTGTTTTGCTGATGCTGCATGTGGGATTTGCATATGGGGGATGTGCATATATATCCGACTTGTTGCCTGGGGATGCAAACCGAATTTGGATACCTTGTGCCTTGAAAAGAGCTGGTTTAGCCGGTGAAAGCACTGCCCCAACCTGCTGTCCCCTTTCACTCTGTCCCTTCTACAATGGCCACACTCCCTCAGACACAAGACCCTAACCTCAGCCCCCCCCCCCCTCCTCCTTCTCATCCCGACACCCCCAAATTCCCCCTCCCCCGTTCGCAGCAATTGTGCGCCTTTCCAGAGGCATGATCCGAGTGCTGTGGCTCTCCCATGCCTAGCAGTGACACGCTGATCGGCAAGCCTCCTCGCTTTTATCACTCAGTGCTTAAAAAAGGATGGATCTTGAAGGCATAAACTGTCTCTTAACCATATCAACCATTATGGATTTAAGATGCTGAAGGGGGATAAAGAGGAGGGGGTGTTGCGGGGAGAACCTGGGAGTGAGTTACCAGTGACAAGAGAAGGAAGAGGTGTTTTCATGTTTTTTGTTTTTGTTTTTGGGCGAGCCAAGAGCTTCTCTTTAGCTGTTTCTCTTCCCAGACCTGAAGATGTTTTTGCTGACAAGATGGTAAGATTCATTTGGAGCACATGGCGTGTCAGCAGAGATAAACGTTCTGACTGATGGCAGTGCTGACATCTTTTTTTTCTCTATGAACAGAATAAGGATGGATGCAGTGTCCTTAAGGCTTGCTTTGTGCAGTGTTGGGTCTGTGCAGCATGGTGCATGCTATTTTTATCCAAATCTCCTATGAGAAGTAAATAATTCAGTGTTGTTAGCTTTTAGGTTTTCATGATGCAGCAATGCGTATGTTATAGCATTTTTGTTTCTTAGGTAATGTAAAAAAATTTGAATAAATTTTTTTTCTCTGTTATAGCTCTGCGTTTTACATTTTTTTTCATTCTGAATAATGAACTTCAGTGCCACAGGTTCCTGCTCTTAACCTAGTTTTTAAATATGCTGCAGTGCTGGGTGCAGGTAGAACAAAGTGCCATCGCTATACATCAAAAAGCGAGCTGCAAGCATCTCGCCATGTCCGCTGCATGTATGGGGGAAACCACTTCTCTGTTGGTGTTCACGGGACCTAGTTTATTTTTTAACCTCTTACTGAGAGTCTTCGCACCACAGCTGCAGTCTATTGAGCGCTGCATTCAGTTTTGTCTTGCGTGCAGCATTCTATTTTTGCCAGCTTGAAGAACAGTTCCATTATTGGTGGATAATACAGCATAGATTGCCACAGTTCTGTAAGTTTAAAATACATTTCTGCATCTTGTTAAACTATATCTGGTGTGCTTCTAGGTACTTGTATTAGTTTATTGTAATGTGCTTTGAGAATCATTTGAATCATGCATATTGATTACAATTCTGAAGCTGAATGGTCAGATTTGATATTCAATTAATTGCAATTAATAGATGAAATAATTATTGATATTGATACTGCCTTGAAAATATAGAGACAGATGAAAGGACAATCATTGACAAAAGCTGTTAAACTCTGAGAGTTTTAGTCCAGAATAGTAGGTGTGAACTGAAAGCTGTTTTCATGACCCCAGAACGCAGATACTGGCTACTGCTGCTGGACCTGTCTGGCTTTGGGTGGGGTCCGGACCTTGCTTTCGCTTGTCTGGTTGCTATGTCTGATCTGGGCTTGTTTTGTGAATTTCCATTTGACATTTATCTGCTTAAAGTCCCTAAATCCTCATCTGGCTGGTCAGGCTGTGTCAACACGATCCAAAGTATTATCCATGAAATCAATGTAATCTTTTAAAGGCAGAGAAGATGAAGATCTAATAGGAGGTTTAGAGTTTGCTCAACCTCCACAAAGCAGGCTAAGATCACAAAATTGGTCAAATCAGCCAGTTACATATGAAATACAACTTGATAACTGGTGGTTATGGATGCTGGATGACGATAAAACTCTCAGTCTCTGCAGTGCAAAGCTCATATGGAGGTGAAATAAAAGTCTCTATGCTTGCTGATTAGTTTCTTGGTGGGCTCTGTTTGTGGTAGCTGGCTGGCTGGTGGGTTGCTTCAGTAACTATGGTGACGGTATCCCCAGAAAGCCTTAAAGCAATCCCAGGCTTTGCCAGGCTGATTTGTGAAAGAAGCGATGCATGCCTGCAAAGTTAAAACTCTGACAATGACCTTCTCCTTCCATTTGTTTTCTCACAGCATTTGTTTTTTCCCCCACATGAACAATTCTGCAGTTGCTGAGAGAGAATGACAAAACGTAACTGTTTTTCTATATTTTTTTTTGTAAATTTTTGGTACCTGCCATGAAAGACAAATTAAAAATAAATTCCATTGACAGCTGATTTTTTTTTATTCAATTTTTCTTTAATTTTTTTTTTGCTTCCTTTTTCTCCCCATCATTATGCAATAATTCTAAGTGTAGCATCTTACTAGCCCAATATATTATTTCAATGCACAGAAAGAATGCATTGAATTTGAAATATGATCTTCTAGCAAATATTTATGCCATGCCTGTATGATGGCCACATTGCACACATTACTGCGATGACTACTTCTACAGTCCCCTTGGTTGATGAACAGCTAAATAAAGCTAAATATTCTGAAAGAAACTCATTAATGTACTCTTGGCATTAAGGAGTTTCCTTTTGTAATAATAATAAAATATTTATACATAGAGCAGACATGATGCCACCCTGTTTAATTACAGAGCTGCTTCACAAAGATTAGAGGCGATGTTTTGATCAGTCTTTAACGCCTTATCTTAGTGACAGCTAACACAAACTTCATTGGCCTTTTCCAGATCAGTGGCAGAGATTAGTTACAAGATAAAATGGATCAAAATCCAGCTACTTTGCTCTGGTCTAATCAACCCCTCTGTTATCTGCTAAGGTCTCACTCTCTGTTGCAGCAAACCTCTGTAGAAAACGTAGCTTATTTTAAAAATTTTTTTCTCCTCCTGACATTGGGTCTTAAACACCACACCAGGATTGTCTAAAGGTGTGGATGTAGACACTTACTGGACGGTGTTATTCTGATTGTGACAAACTGACCTGAATGCACATTTCCACCTTTAATACCAAGATGTATAATACCAGGAAAATATCCAGACTGTTGCTACTCTAAACCTGTAGTTTGATTATGAAAACCAATAACCCCTCAAGCTGCAAGAATTGTTTCCTCTTTGAATATAGATGCATTTATTTGCATCACTTTATTGACATTTTGGGTTGTGGCTCGGCTTTGGCCAATGTTTATTTTAAAATGATTAAGGACAAACAAATCCTTTAAGGGACTCTCCTGCTTTTAAATGTGTATCAAAAATAATGTTAGTGTCACAATTGTCTTTTTGTTGCTCATCATTCTATGCTGTTAAATGCATGTATTATTTCACTAATCAAAAATCATGTCTGTTTTACAGATCCGGGTTGCTTAGTCGCCGAACCCCTCAATCACCCATTTCCAGCTGTGTGAAGATAGACGAAGGAAGTTTTGATGAATCAGTTTTCGCTAACCGATGCTATGACCGACAAGTAAGTTGACTCTTCCAGTGAGTGTTTGAGTTTTATGTCCTCTGAACACTGGATGCCTGTTTGAGTGTGAAGCCGGTGGAGGATGCAGTCTGTGGTTCCTCTCCTCCTCATCTCCCCTTGTTGATGTCAAGTAGAGAGAAGTATGCTGTTGTGGTAGATGGGGGGGTGATATAAAGACAGTCTTGTGTTGCCCCTGAAGACATGACATTTGCATCAGGGCTGATTTGCATTCCTGTTCACTGTGTTGGTATGCCGCCCTGCTTAGCTACTCTTTATTTCCCTGATAAAATAGCGCAGCTCCTGGTTTTTGATGCTTTTCGTTCTTACCTCATCCTCCTAAACCTTCTTTGCATTCTCCCTTTTTGTGGCTCGCTCTTTGTCTTTTCCTTTTGGATCAAATCTCTTTCTGGTTTCTATCTCTCTCTTTTTTGTGTCTTTTGTAAGGTTCGTCTCTTTGTGTCTCAGTCCAGCGTTCCCTGACTTTGACCTTTAGACCAAGAAGAATTGGAGTGCAGTAAGCAAAATAATCTGACGTCAGCAATGACAATAAGTGGAAGAAGTGATGTTGGATGCAACCAGGCAAAACAAAGACTTCTTTTTTGGGTTAAACAAAATTACCTTCACAATATAAACCGTAGGTTTATTTTAAAGTAAGACTAAATGGCATTAGTAGAGTTCACTTTCTCTGTCCGTCATCTATTTACTTTTCACCAATGCACCTGTTCACCCCTTTGAGAGTGGAAGAAAAGGGAATGGGGGTCTGGTCAGTCAGCCTTTCTATGAAATGAGCTGCAGGGTGCTTCCCTAGCATCCAATTATGTCAACATAAAGTACTCTATATCTTTACCAGCGGAATGGAACATTTCAGCAAATTAAGAGGCTATGTTTCTTTAATAGTTTATTACATGTTCATACTCTGTTGTGCTAGATTAGACTAGAGATGAATACCTCAAAGATCTTGCAGAAAACAGTCCTTGACAAACTGATGCAGAAAAGTAAATGCCATAAACATAAATGTAGTACAACTTTAGGATGAGATCATTGATGCTTTTTAAGTAAGATATAACAATGTTGACAAGTTTCCTCGCTGGATCAAAAGTATCCAAGCAACCAGAAGGCGGGGCCTCTTGGGGAGGGTTTGTTATTGTCTGCTAGATGGTTGTCCATGATGTAGAAAGATTGTTTGAGTGAGAAGAATGATAAATGTTGTGCTAAAGTGAAGCGAGGGGGGATTGTTGAAGGATGTGGCCCCCCGACAGAGATCGAGAACAAAGCCCCCCTCAACATGGAACTACTCAGGGTTCGTACAAAGGCAGAAGTATATGGCTACTTATTCTCTCTTCAGCACACACTCGCATGACCCTCAGCCTTCCTTTCTTTCTCCTTCTGCCTTGGTCATCAGCAAATATTTACTCCTTGCAGGAAATCAGTGGACATTTCTTGAGAAAAGTACATTCCCAGATTTAATCTGACTAGTGGAGATGTCTAAGAAGCTCACTGCTCTTTTTGTAATGATTTTATCACATTTCCTTTTAAAGTTCAGTCTCTGTCACATGACTGCACATCTTCAAATGTTTTATATAAGATCTTAGTCCAGCTCATTTAATTAGAAATAATGTTTTTATAAGCATGCAGGAGGAGCTTATAAATGTGCTATTTAGATTTCACAGCAAATGCCATTACCCCATCTCATGCTACTTCATGCAGACTCTTTGTTTGCTCTAATGAAGATTCACTTACCTTTACAGGAAACTGTAGGCAATTTAAACAAATGTAATGATCTCCGACAAACCTTGTTTTTTGTTTTATTAGCTTATCAATGATTCATACTTACAAGTTCAACCAGGATAGTGTTAATCACATTTAACTGTCCAGTATAATAATATTCATTTGCAAATAGTTGTAGGGTTGTAGAAGACTTTGCATGTGATTGAGGGATCTATAGTGCATATTTGGGCCATGGCTATAATTCCTCTATACTGATCTGTGTTTATATTTTAAGGAACCAAGCTGATATCTCCTGCATGATTTATTTTACATCACATCTGCTTATGTTACATTTATATCCTGTTATTTAGAATTTCTTACTAAAACTTTGCAACTTGGACAGTTCCCAGAATTTCCCAGTTGTTCAAAGACACTTTTACCCTAAAACTCAGGGATACAGTCGAAATTAACTTGCATACCTGATGTCTAAGAGTTTCAAGTTTAAATTCCTACCCTACATGTTTTTTCCACATTGTAACCTTTCTTTCTCATCTTTACATAGTGGTTGGTTTTCATTAATCTATGAATATTCTTCTGGATCAGTGAAAATAAACACGTTGGAGCTCAGCCTCCTTGTGTTCTGTGATGAGGAATGTTTCTAAACTCTGACTCTGTGCTTCTAGACAAGGATTTCTCCTGTTTAAATAAAAGCCTTGAAAATTTTTACAAAAGATGCAGCCTTGTTTGTCTACTCCTCCTAAATTTCTAATTTCTGTCCCTTTTTAACAAGATTTTAAACTGGGGATCATAGCACTGTTTCCAATAGATTGACGCTGAACGTTTTTTATAAAATAAAACTTAATTATTATTGTCAATTCCCATTCATTTGAGGAGAAAAACGTTGTGCAATCTGCTAAGCTATGCGATTATGCTTTGTTGTATGTTTTCTTATTTTCATGTTTTCTTTGCCTGTTTCTAATTTCTTTTGTGTATTGTGAGACTTCATCATATCAAAGCCTGTTTGTTTTCTGTCTTCCTCGGTCCTTTGAGTGTCGCTTCCCTCGTCCACCTGTGCTGGTGTTTACTGACAGCCTTGTCAGAGATTTGGGATGTTTATAGTTCCACAGCAAGGAAGGCTGCTCAGGGTGGGTGTTTCTCTATGAGAGCTAAAATAACAAACTGCCTTAGAGATATGAGAACACTTCCCAGCAGCCTTTTCTCTTTTAATATGTCTGCTTTGCCTTTCTGTATCAGTCAAGGTCCTCTGTGTGCTCATATTGGTCTCAGCGGAACGATTTGTGTTGTTTTAAAACGGTCTTTTATTTTGAAATTTTATTTGCGTTTCTACATAAATTATTCTTCATCTTTAAAACTGTGTATAAATTCCGCTGTAGCTTTAGTTGTGTATCTTTTGAAATAATAAAAATGGAAAAATGATCAGAAATGCATTACTCAGACATTTTTGATTATCTATGATTTCTGCAGCTTTTTGTGTAGTGTTAGGCTACCTATAACTATTTCAGCTCATTCAAATTTCTCTAATAGAGTGAAACATTTAAAAAATAAATTCAAATCATTTATTTCTATATTTGTATTAGAGGAGGTGCAATGTCAAACGTTTGAAAGAGTAGCAACAAAACAATTTTTGTTTTTTTTTCTGTCCAGTTTTCTTTGTTTTTTTTCCAAAACAAAGAAAATGATGTTGAAGTATAAATTTTCAGCTAACCAGTCTTCAGTTGCCATCGTTTGCTTTTACTCAGAAATTTCCAGACCGAACCAAACAACATCAGGCAATAGCTTCAGATTGTATTGAGGGTTGATTGAGAAACAAAAATCCTGAAGAAATTTGACTTTATTCCACCAGCTTTTACTTTTCTTCTCGTTCAGCTTAAGACTTTCAATTTCCTGAAATCGCCGGATCAATATAGAAATCTAAATACAGGGGGAAAAAATAATTTTGCTGTACTTGATGATGATAATCTGTTTCTGTGTGTATACACTGAAGTAGTTGGACGAAGACATTACCAAGAAGATTGTGACACCAGTTTATAAACAACATGGTACTTTAGCCTGTAGTATAAAGGTAACCTGTTTTTGCAATGGATAAGAAAACTCTTAAAAGACGTACAAAGCTCTTTACCTCAATTTCCTCTGAACTAAGAAAATATTCTAGTATAGTGATAATCCTTAAGTAGCTGAAATCCAGTATTGCAGCCGGATGCTCAGTGAGCGCTCCCAATCTGGCAGCTTTCTGAAGTGCAGCCATTACTACCATTGTTCCGGTTTGAGATGTTTTTTTTTTTCCAAAATGCCAGCTTTTCCCGGCTGTCCTTCAAATCCACTCATCAGTTAAATACTATAGAGCCGTGACATCTCCCATTTCCTCTCCCTCACCTCTACAGACTGCCGTGTCACAAGGGCAAGGTTTGCGGGGCACTCCTTGTTTTGCCCCCACACTTGTTGTCCCCCCACCAACACATCCTGAATTGAGACATATGAAGGCGTGGCCTCATTAGGATTCGTGGCGACATTGTAGAAACTCTAGATCAGCTGTCACACGGTTTTGTGGGAGACGTGGAAGTCCAGTTCAAAGTGCTTCCTGAAGATGTCAATGGGGGTGCAGTCTTTGACCCTTGGCTCATCAATCTTGTACATCTGGCAGCTATTCCCACTGCTACATAGATGCTGCACTGAGATGTTGAGACGCGATGATTTGATATGATATTTGCACTTGTTGCAGATGTTCTTCTGTCTTCCTGCATGAATGACGCTGTGAAAATAGAATGGAAAAACATAGATGACTGGAAAAATCAGACTCATCTGGGACGTCATGAAGTGACGGGTTATTATGAATTTTTTTAACGAATTTTCAAGTTTCTCATTAGATTTTTTAAATATGACTTCTTGTAGTTGAAGCAAATCTCAGAAGCCCTAGTAGTTTGTTTCTGTAAGTTTAAGCAGCTGCACTAGTAAGGGTTTAAGCTTGTTAAGCTGGTATTGACAATTTACAGACTTCTATAGTTATAGATGGCCCTACTGGACAGAAAATGTTGGTTTTCTGATAGCCATCTACACTATTACTGCTTTATTAATCTCCTTAAAACACCTTATTTAATTGGAATCACCTCTGACCTATGTTCCTTACCCCAGCAAACATAGTGTGGCACCATCTTGAATCCACATCTAAAGTATTTTTGGTGTCAATAAAAGTTCCATTGTTGCGTTTTGCTTTTCGTTTTCTTTGCTTCTTCACTGCTGAATGTAATCTGATTATTCTTAATGCACCAAAGCAGGGATGCTGGTTAATACCCATGAATCTGCATATTTGGGTTGATTTAGCTGACATGAAATCAGTTGTGTGGAAAATGTCGGCTCTTGTTGTTTTGCTTTGATGGGTTTTGATCTTTATTATAATATCTGAGCTCTCACGCTAGGTTGATTGAAGAATTGATTCTCTCTAAATGGTCAGGGGAAAAATGTTTTGGTCAGAGGTGCTTGTTTCATGGAGGACTATGGGAGTAAAGGCCGTCATGCAGGAAGAATGTATTCAGCTTTGGTGTGGAGGTTTTCTTTTTGCTCAGGGAAGCAGTCTAAGTGAACCGACTCAAAGCTGTAGTGAAAGGACAGCCAGTCATCCGTCACAACAGCAAAGTGATGTCTGAGGGCAAAAAAAAAAACCTACATCCTGAGGAATCTTAGAATTTTCCAGCTGATTTCAAATTACTCTGGATGCATTTAGTCCTTTAGATTTTCCTACTGGTGCTCAACATTTTGAAAGAGCCTTTCAATCCTGTTTTTGGTTCATCGCTCTCCTGTTTCCTAATTGGAGCAGAAGAGACCTTTTCTGACTGTAACGTATGCTAGATGTTGGAGGTCATTGTTGGAGACGTCATCAAACAATAATGTCTAAAGTGGAAAGAATAAAAATAAGGTAAAAATGTAATTTGTGCAGCCATTTCTACTGTTGGACGCTCCAGAGAGAGCAGAGCTTTGATGATATTCACTGCTGATGACGACTCAAACAACTCTTTAAATGTTTTTTTTTTAAGAGAAGAATTAAAAGAATTAAAACACAGATTTTTAACTATTTATGTTACCATACCCTCTGAGACCTCTAGCTCCCTCAGTGTAGATAGGATGAGGCTTGTTAGATTAGTTGCATTCATCTGAAACTCATGTCTGACAAGTCTTCCACAGAAAGTTCCTTTTGTATTAGACGGAAAGTCAAAGAGACCCAAGATTTTCACACAGCTGAAGTTTCTCTATTAGATCCTTTTTGTCTTTTTGTTTTTATTTGTGTTTTGATGGTCAGTTTGTGGGTATTTTCTAAACCTCATCTTATTTGACAGATTTTGATGTATATCATCCATATTTTATCTGTTTTACTCAAGTCCTGACAAACTAATTATACATCTTAAACCTTCCTCCCCTTCTAGGCACGCGCACAGTGATACAACATTTAACTGTCTTGTCTGATCTCCCTAGCCTGAGGATATTATAATTCTCTCCAGAGGAAGAGCGTCGCATCTTTTAGGAGCCACAGGTCAGAAACTCTACTCCTCTCCCCCCTCCCTGCCTCGCCCCCCTCTTTGCTGTGCAAACCGATACTGTGCTGCTTCGAAGCCTGCACGCTTCAAAACCAGTGCTGCATGCCTATCCATTCCCCCCAACCTGTACCTGTCTTAAAGGTTTACTTTTATCCTTGCATTTTCTGCATGACTACACATGGGTAATCCAGCTGGGAATTGATTTTAAACCTATTTTGTTTGTTTTTTTAATCACTCATTTCCTTTCTTGATTTTTGGTATTTTCTCTTTTCAACTTGATGCTTTTTGTTTGTTTGCTCAAAGGCACATAATTACTGTGTACCTTGTGATGTTTATAATGAAAGGCATGCATGGTTGCCTTGCTCTGGGGTTTTGGACAGCACACTTTGCTCTTTGGCTTTGCTTTTACTTTGCTGAGCGGCTGCTCTAAACAGCAATTATTCAGTCACAGCCTAGCAACTGCAACTCAAGTGCTCTAAAGCTTTTCTCCAAATGCCAAAGTACTATGCATGAGGCTGCAGTGAGGAAAATGTTTTCTTTATATCAAACTGCTTAGAATATTTACTTTTTAAGCTTAAGAGCATATTATGCAATTATATCAGGTTTTATCTTCTTAACTTTAAATTAATAATTGGGAGAACTTTGTATCAGGTAATTCTGATAAATAAATGTAAAAATAAGACTATGTGCTTTAGGTGGTTATCTGTTTTTTTTGAAAGAAACAAACAGTTGCAGCAGGTGGTAAAAATTTCATTGTTTTGAACAATCAATACAGGATATCCTGAAGCACCTGTTAGATGTTTTTTTTTGTACTCGAACAATTAAAGGTGTAACAGGATGCATGCTCCATCAAAAGGCATCAACGGCACACTGATATCTTAAGTCTTTCAGGTTTCTATGTTGTGTAAAGCTGATTGATGTCTGTGGGTGTTCTGGATTTGGTAGTCTCTAATGTAAAACACCTTTAATGTTTTTGTTTTTCCACTCTAGGAGGATGTTCAATACCTGAGTAATTTGATTCTTGTGTTTGATTCATCCAATACTTGCATGCGTTGGATGATTCATTAGTGCTCTCGGCAGCCATGCCTTAAGATCATCTGAAGCATTTTTGCTCACTTTATTTAGCTAACATGTGTTATGGTTTTCTTTTTTTGTGAATCTTGTTTAAATTGAGGCTTCTGCAACACATAAATTATTCTCATTTTCGTAATGCAAGTGGTGCAGGCAAAACCGATATTTGCCAAACGTAAATTAATCAGTCCCATCAAAATTGGCTCGATTAGTCAACCTCTACACATTGCTTTTTAGTCAGCCTTTCTGTTATCATCCATTCCAGTTAAACTTTCTCCGATCTCAGGTCAATTAGGTGTTACTTAAATTATGTAAGCGAAATCAGATATTGAGGGAGCATGGATTCTGCAAGTTTCTTCAAAGTTAGAGATTGTTATTGTAGCTTTGAGCAGAACGGGTTTCCTTCAGCAGATCTGTAACTCTCTTACTGCCAATCCACTGATGTTCAGTCTTTATAGTGTGAGGAGCATGCTCAGTGTTGGCTTTTTTCCCAAAAAAATGAAGCCTTTTCCTTTGCTTAATGAGCCATAAAGACTTCAAAGCCATCCTAAGAACAGAACTAAGCTTTATTTTGCAAATTATTCAGCTTCTGTAAGACACTGGGTCCGATTTAGCTCCCCCGGCTGATTACAACTAGAGACTAGAGAATCTGGACATAGACTCTGAAAGTCTTAGGCTGTGTCCAAATGCTTATAGAGCTTTATACCCCTATATAGAGCCCTATATAGGGGTATAGAGCTCTATACTCGTATATGGAGCACTATATAGGGTTTACATTATTTTATAAGGGTGTCCAAATGTCTAGTAGTGCACTCAATTTCTTCCATTGCACCTTGAAAAGTGTACATCGATGGACAAGCTAATTTATCCCAGAATGCTTTTCAAGATCCCTCCTTGCAAAGCATCATAGGATATGTTATAGGGATGAGAAAGAACAAAGATGGCGCGGTGGGGGATGCTTGAGTCCCTCGATCAACAGGAGAGTGAAAAGTACTGATCATCTGTCCGAATGACAAGTTAACTTAATTCATTTTAAAGTCCAATATTTAGTCTCATCTATATACAGTGATTGTGGGGTTAAGGCGGATGTTTGGACACAGCCTCAAGCTTTCAACTTGGATTGTTTTTTTCCTACATCATCATCTTCACTGTTTGCTCTGTAATGGAAAAGGTTTTATGTTTTCATGAGAAATGGGAATTTGTTGGCCATTTGCCTTGTTTTGTTCATGTTTAGGATTTGGGGCAAATCAGGCAAAAATTGGTTAAATGATCTGTAAAACCAAGTTATGCATCTTCAATTCTAGCTCCATGACTGTGAACGAATAGCAGTGGGCCCTGAACATGGCCTGTTTGGTTTCTGAGCCGCAACAACAGGTCTTTAGTATTACAGGACTAATGGAGAAGCATCCTTGCATACTGGAACAGGCAGGGTCTTTTCCAGAGCGATGTTGCCTTTACGTGCTGCAGAATCAAACATATCTGGTCCACACAGGCCAAGGCATGCATCTGGATCTGCTGTGTCGACAGCTAAGGAAAGCACCAGTATGACTGAACAAAGGTGCAGAAATTTGTATCTTTACAGCAAACTAACGTAATGGGTGTTTTTAGGATTTGCTGGCTAAAGTGTAAGAAAATATGAATCGGGTCATAGCTGTTGTTTGTGTAACAAGTTTGTGACATTTGAAAAGTCAAAACAAACTTTGTTATTGCCACCTCTAGCACAGGAAAAAAGAGTTTGTAAAAAGCTTAGAGCTTAGAAAGTGGAGTTGTTAAAGGAAAGAGTAGATCAGTGATGGGACAAGAAAATGCTCATCTTGCTCCTGGACTAGACCTACTAATTAATCATTATGTTTATAGATCATTTAGTTTCACTTCAGACAAATGCTCTTTACTGTTTTAACTTTTAGCTCAGGTAAAATACTGGCTGCGTTTAACTCAAACAAGCTTGATATTTCCTTTTTATTCAACATCACGGCTAACTCTTTTATGGTTGTCTGCTCACCATCTAAAGACCAGTAAAAAGCTTGGTCTCTGTCTGATAGTTTTGGCTTTATGTTCAAAAATACAGTAAACAAAAAAAAGATGAACCAGAGCTAAGGAAAAAAAAAAAAGCCAAATAATCCTGTTTTTAAAAAATGGGTAAAGATTTTAGTATTCCCTTTCTGAGTAATTGAAAAGGTAATAAATATTTCTACTAATAAACCCCTCATTACATTCTGATACTTTAGAACAAAGAAGGTGGTTTGATTACAAAAACACAGACTTCTCATGAAAAGTTGCATAATGAAACTTGACTCAACTTTCCAGGAACAAAGCAGTGATTTAATGGTAAAAATATTCAGAGAATGGACTCTACAACTTTTCTTCAGAAATTTCCTGCTGTGATTTCCTTGTTGCCAGAAGCCCACCTCCATAACTCCTTTTGCCAAGTAAAAGTTTAACCAGATGGCTGTAATGATTAAACAAAGGTGGGTTGAGACAAGTTTTAGATATAAAATTAACAATAAAATGGAATTGGTAATGTTTTGGGGGGGTTTTCCAGTTACAGATAAAAATAAATAAATAATTGAGGGTAGATTATTATTCATATGTCTTTTATTTGCTTGATGTTTCGTTTTATATCTCACACCATTTTATTAAACTCTTCCAAATCTGTATTACTTCTAACAACTTTGTACTTATAAGTAAAATAATTAGATTTAAGCAGCAGCTCCTCCTTCAGATCTGGTGAAGGTGATATTTCATGTGACTCGCATCTAGCATGTCAGCATATCAACCTCCAAAAAAGTTAATCAGATTTGGAAATGGTGCTGAAAAGATGTAGACTTAGACAGCTTTTATTGTCATGATTTGTACAACTTTCATGACATTTCCATTTCCAAGTGCAGCAGTGATCAAATGTAAACATTGTGGAAGAGAAAACTGTAAAAAATGCATTGATATGGAAGTTCAGAGCCTTAAAGGAGAAGTTCGGTTTTTTACACTTTAAGCCCATTTTCTGTAGTGTCCAGGATGAAATCGAATGATCGACACCAAAAGTTTGACAATTGGTCCTGTCTCTGCTTTTTGGCTCATTTAGAATCCACCCCTGGCTGCTTTAGAATGGCTTGCATAGAGCATGTCCGATAATGTCCTTAAAACAACCTTAAACGTTCTTTTTTTTAAATATGCTACTCACCGGGTCGTCAGCGCTGTTCAATGACGTTCCAAAAAAAGTTTCGTAAAGAAAAAACGTTCCTGTAGTGTTTTATTTAGCATTTTGTAAATCCCATTGAGTTCTGTAGGAATAGTCAATATTCCGCTGCCACCGGAAACGGAAATGGGGCCTGTTTACACAGTTGTAGTCTTTTCGCTTCACTCTGTGTACTCCGACGTCGAGGTGCTAACGTCTCTGTTAAACACTTTAAAAAACTCTGAAAATGGAATACGAAAGGTGGATTCTTGATTCTCGACGTCGGAGTACACAGAGTGAAGCGAAAAGACTACAACTGTGTAAACAGGCCCCATTTCCGTTTCCGGTGGCAGCGGAATATTGACTATTCCTACAGAACTCAATGGGATTTACAAAATGCTAAATAAAACACTACAGGAACGTTTTTTCTTCACGAAACTTTTTTTGGAACGTCATTGAACAGCACTGACGACACGGTGAGTAGCATATTTTAAAAAAAGAAAGTTTAGGGTTGTTTTAAGGACATTATCGGACATGCTCTATGCAAGCCATTCTAAAGCAGCCAGGGGGTGATTCTAAATGAGCCAAAAAGCAGAGACAGGACCAATTGTCAAACTTTTGGTGTCGATCATTCGATTTCATCCTGGACACTACAGAAAATGGGCTTAAAGTGTAAAAAACCGAACTTCTCCTTTAATATACACTATATTGCCAAAAGTATTTGCTCACCTGCCTTGACTCACATATGAGCTT